CTGCCTCTTTTCTGAAGCTTATGCCTCAGCAAAACAGTGACCTGATTTTTTTCATACATAATTGATCTCTAAAATTCTTCTGGCAACAATATTAAGTGCTCTGTAACTTTACAGCGAAATGAGAACAACAGCACTCAGCCACTTCTGGTAACACAACGCTTGACCTAAAATGCTTCTCCATCATCTCAGGTATCACTTTCTTGATAGCAAAAGAAAAAGACAGACAGGTAGATCGATTCAGATAAAGTAGTAGCTAAGACAATACATGTGTTAATCATTGTCACATAGAAATTACATTAAATATTCTTTGACTATATTTATATGTAGGAAGGCTGTGGCATCACAAAAAAAACTGAATATATTTGGTGCTTCACGAATCACTGCCCCACTTTTGCATAGTTCAGCGTTCAGTGTATGGCGTCCTCTGCTGGTGCTGTCAGGCGCATGCGCAGCAGCAGCTGGACACGTTTAGCTTCCGGTGGCTGTCAGATGCCTGAGCTTCAGGCACATAAGGTAAAATACATAAATGCTTGCCGAATATTTGATAATATATAATGTAATGACAAGTAGAGTGATGAGTACTCTGCTTTCAAATCGTTTGTGTGCTGAAGCTTGAGTGAGTTTCTTCAGTGAGACGGTAACTTAGCTGAGCTAACCAGCTAACATGCTTAACATGTAAACAAACTTAGCAGAGCTGAACAAACCGACTGTTAAACGAACTAACTTATTGCATTAAAACAGTCAAATATAGGAGCCTTAGAAGACTTAGAGCAAATTATGAATGAGTTTATATTACGGGTTGGGTTTCGCTAGCTGATATTAACCTTGTTAGCAGCTAATCTGCAGCAAGGTCTCACTGAAAACAGGCTATTAAATGTTTTACATGAGTTTACGTACATCTACTGAAATTATCCGTCAAAGTTCACTAAAAATAAACTTTTAACATCCTTACTCATGCCTTCATTTAAATCTTTAGTCACTTAAATCTTTTAAATAAAAAAGTCCTTCGATCCTTTGTCCTTTGTTTACTTAAGGCAATTGTGTCTGGTTTATTATTGTAAATCTAGCTTTAATATATTATAAATTATATACAATTTTAGAAATAATAAATGTATTATATATTATATGAATTATTTAACTTAATTTTTAAAATTAACAAGAAGATGGTAAGTAAACAAACTAATTTAATGGAAATATTGTAATATTGTGTTGGATTTATAAATACATAATATGTCGTAATGATAATATATAGTATTCTAATCTCACTATATATAGTAAAATGTAAAATAAAAATATAATGAAATTATCATTTAAAATATGATATTTATATTTTTTCAATATAATATAAATATTAAATGTTTATATAAAAATATAAAATAAAAATATTATAATTGATTTATAATATATAATATAATGATTACATTATTATACTATATAAAATATATGTATATATATATATATATATATAATATACTGTGTATTTACAGTGACACTACATATATTGTATATACATGTACACTATATTTTGTATGCAACTAGACTCACATTCTACATGTTTTGCATTTACATTAATGAACATCACTTATTATTATTATTATTATATTTAAGTATTAAATAATATATAAATATATATCATAAAAAATATAATGATTTATAATTATATAATATGAGTTTTAAAATTATTATTATAGTATATAAAATAATATATT